GCACCCTCTGCTGGCAGGCAGCTCTGGAGCTGGGACTACACTTAGTAAATTGGGTTCCTAGCAACCTGGAAGGCCCTAGAGTCCCAGCATCCACTCTGGTGATGGAGACAGTAGAACCAGCTGGAGCCATCACTTCCCTGTCCTGGAGCAACAGAGGCACCAGACTCCCAAAGGGAAGCGGAGGCAATGACACTTCTGGGACAGTGGGGTGCTCACCCCCAAACATGGGACTGGGGCCTCAGTAGGATTCGGGGCAGTGGAAGATGGTGCCATCTGTGTGCATGGCTTGATAACACTTGAGGCTCAGCGCCTGTGGCTCAAGCGGCTAAGGCGCCAGCCACATACACCTAAGGTGGCGGGTTCGAGTCCCCAGCCCGGGCCGCCAGACAACGATAATGGCTGCAACCAAAAAATGGCCAGGTGTTGTGGCGGACGCCTGTGGTCTCAGCTACTTGGGAGGCGGGGGCAGGAGACTCGCTTGAGCCCAGGAGTTGGAGGTTGCTGTGAGTGTGATGCCATGGCACTCTACCCAGGGGGACAGCTTGAGGCTCCGTCTCAAAAAAAAAAGAGACAACACTTGCCAGTGGGAATTCAGAGCTGGTAAAGGACTCACTTTGGCTGGAGCAGGGAGTTTGCTTCAGAAAGGGAGGAAGATGCCTCTGTCTTAAATGCCAGGTCTAGACTGTGGATTTGATGCTCCACAGAATTTTGAGAGAAGAAGGGGAGCGCAAGAGAAGGGCATATGAAGTGATGTTGATCTGTCAAAAAACTGTTCAGCATCCAAAAAGGTCTTAGCACAGTGCGGGGGATGTTGGCAGATAGGGAAGTCACCCAGCCAGATGTGTAGACCGTCCTGGAGAGGGGATAAGGGTAGGGTGCTTGCAGGTGGGCTGTGTCCCTTTCAGCAAGTGCTGCAGCTCCTTGGGCTCTAAGAGGAGCCTGGCTCCTGACTTGGAGTTCTGTGCTTTGAGGCTAGAGTGGCCCAAATTTGGGCAGGTGACAAGGCTTCCCCAGAGCTGGCCCAGGGTGCCTCGGAAACCTTTTTCCCAGGCAGCTGGACCACGGCAGATGAAAGAGCCTGTTTCTCATCTCTCCAAGCTGAGGGCGTGTCCACAGCTGCCCCTGCCCCTCTCCCTGCCAAGGGCTCCAAACTTTTCCAGCTCAAGCCCAAATCTCCTCAAGTGATGCCTATTGAAGAATTCCAAGGTAAGAGGGCCCTGGGGCCAAACCGGCCTCCCCCTCTCCTCTTCCCCCACCTCCACTGCGGGACAGAGGACGATGTCTGGCTCAGAAAACCCTCCCCGTGTAGCTGGGTCAAGGTCAGACGGAGTCTCTCCTCCCTCCCTAAGGGAGCTGGGAGCAGGTATGAGTCAGAAGCCAACATGGGCACAGTGGGCAGGCACACAGCAGGCAGAGTAGCTGCCAGAAATAACCTGTCCTGGCCCCTCTGGGAGGTGTGGCCCAGGGGCTCATCTTGGTTGAGGCAGAATCTGGGACACACAGGGTCACCAATGATGCTCTTTGGGACACTCAAAGGATGCCTCAACTCCTGTTGACTCTGGAGGGGTAAGGTGAAGGGGGCAAGTCCGGGAAGCCCATGGGTGGGACCGCCCACCTCCTGTCCTGGCATATCCCAGGCTGTTTTCAGGACTGCTTGTGCCCTTCTGCTACTGAGGCCTGATTCAGCCCCCATGTCAAAAGGGAGGCTGGGTCCTCTCGAGATGCACAGACGCTGTTTGAAGAGACTGGCAGTGTCCTTCCTTATACAGGGGCAGCCACATTGGCTTTCTTGCATGGGGCCAGGGGGTGTTGAATCTCTTAGAAGAGACACCAAAGGATGCCCCTCTTCTGTGCCAGAGGAGGTGACCCTCCTCACCAAACCCCACCCCTTCATGATACAGGGAGTCCTACCTCCAAGGCCTGAGAGCCTTGCCCAGGCGGTCACAGGGCTTGCCCAGTCTACGCAGCAGAGCCAGTTTGCAGGGGGTAGGTGGAAGAGGCAGCAGGACAGAGCCGAGATGGAGATGGTGGTCCTGGGGGAGCCGCGTGCCTCCAGCAGCAAGTCAAAAGGCCAGGCCAGGACCAGGGGGAGGCAAGCAGATGCCCCGGACGCTAGCCTTAAGGTGGCATTTAGGCCCAGGGTCCTGCAAAACAAACTGAGAAGTTCAGACTAAGACAGTATGGGCGTTCCTCCCAGCCATCTTCCAAAGCAGCATGGGGAGGAAGCTCCTGGCCCCTCCACCCTGTCCTACACTAATGCATGTGCACATTCATCCTCGCCATTGCCGAGGACACAGTGCTGAGCGCTGTGAACCCAGGCACTGCTTGCCCCCAACACATGGTCTGGTGGCACAACCCCACCCTCCTTGCATGAAGCCCTTTCTAATCACCTCAACACATGGGTGTCCTTCAGAGAGTATTTCACCTGGTACTGGGCCAGGTGTTAGCAGGTACTGCCCGCAGGTCCAGGTGGGAGTCCCTGGGCTGGGCCTACTCTGCTGGAAATAGACACCTGTCTCTTCCAAATGCCACAGGAGGGTCATGGGCCCAGGGCTTCCTTTATGTCCTTTTCCAAAGATACATCCCTTCCTCCCTGCATGTCCTGGGATGGGTCCTTCCTCTGCCTTTGCCTCAGTTTCCCTGAGTGTGTGTTGACCATCGGTGTTTCTCCGCTGGGCTGGCTCAGACTGTGAGTGCTACGGTCACTCCAACCGCTGCAGCTACATTGACTTCCTGAACGTGGTGACCTGTGTCAGCTGCAAGCACAACACCCGTGGCCAGCACTGCCAGCATTGCCGTCTGGGCTACTACCGGAATGGCTCAGCTGAGCTGGATGACGAGAACGTCTGCATCGGTGAGCAGCATGGCCCCACACAGGGAGCTTGCCAGGATGCCCGCAGGGCACATAGCATGCTAGGTCCAGACCCCCTGTGTCAGAATCACCCAGCAGGCTGCAGGAGTCCCAGTTCCAGGGCCCGCTTTGCCTGGTGCCTCTAGGACAGAAGCCTCCAGAAGCTGCCCACACGCAGGTCTCCCACTGGCACTGGAGTTGAAGAGCCACAAGTCAGAGTCCCAGGTCGGCTTCTAGAGGTGGCCTTGCTGGGTGGATCTGGTCAAGTCCCTCCTTCTCTCTGGGCCTTCCCTTTTCCATGCATAAAATCAGGAGTGGGTGAGAGCAAAGGTTTTTGACCCTCTTTTCACCGGAGCTTTTCCTCTAATGCTCTCTAAGTAAAGGTCCAGTTTACAAAGCTGCACCTGGTGCTCTGGCAGGCACCACCCAAGCTCTGCTCCAGAGCTGGCTCTGAGTAAAGAAGGAAATACCCCAGACCTGGGCTTGGGCAGTGGAGAGAACAGCCCAAAGGCCAAGTCCATGACCCCCATAGCCCGGAAGTTGCCCCCCACTCCTCTCCCCTGTCCCCATTAGAGATGAGGTCTCAGCTCTTGGGGCTGTCTGCCACCCCTGCCCAGCCAGCCCCCTGGGGGCCCTGTTGACCCCCCTTCCCGCCCCAGGCCGGATCTCTCTGGTGGAACAGAGGAGGGAGCTGTGGATCTAAATCCTGCAGTGGCCTCACATGATTCCATCAACTCTAAGTGGTCAGGAGGAAGTCATGCTGGGACGTTCCCCAGGGGGAGGGCAGGGGCTCTGGGTCCAGTTAGAGGTGCCCCCACTGCACCTTCCCCCTTCTCTCCCCCTCTCAAGCCCAGCACTGAGCTTCAAGGACTCAGAGAGTGGGGGGATATTTGCCTCCTCCCACAGAGCAGAGACCCAAGGAACCATCTGGCCCCGGCAGGAGGAGGAGTAGGGCTCTGGGAACTGCTCCTCCAGCCCCTTGGAAAGAAGCTACAGATGGGAACCACCCCCGCCCTCACCCCACCGCCCCATGGACCAGCGGCCTCTGCAGAAGCGCTGCCTGCCCCACACCCCCGTCAGAGTCCTAGCTCTTCCGTTCAGGGAAAGATCCAGCCGCTTTGCCTCCAGTTGCCAGGAGAGGGGAAGGGGCTGGTGCTGGCCTCGCTTGTCAGGGCTAGGGGGCCCGCGCCTGGGCTGCGGAGAGCATCTCCCGATGTGGGGCGGGTGTGGGGGGATGCTGGGCCTGGCGAGGTGTGGCGGGCCTGGCGGCGCCCACAGGTCCCGCTGACGGCTGTGCGTGTGTCCCCACAGAGTGTAACTGCAACCAGATTGGCTCTGTCCACGACCGGTGCAACGAAACCGGCTTCTGCGAGTGTCGAGAGGGCGCTGTGGGGCCCAAGTGTGACGACTGCCTCCCCACGCACTACTGGCGCCAGGGCTGCTACCGTGAGTGGGTGCCGGCCCCGGTGGGAGGGCTGGGTGCGTGGCGGGGTGGGTGGCGTAAAGGTAGAGGCAGGGCGGGGAGGGGGGGTGCAGGTGCCAGGTGGGAACTGTGGGAAAGGCCGGGCTGGGGGTTTGTTGGGAGGGTTCCTGGGGAGATGTGTCTGTGGCTGTGTTAGCTACCGGCTGAGAGTGGAAGGGCGCTCCAGGCGCAAGGAATAGCAGGTGCAAAGCTCTGGAGACAACAGGTGAGTCTGAAGTGCTGCTCCAAGGGCCTGTGGCTCACCTTGTAATCCCAGAACTCTGGGAGGCCAAGGCCGGTGAATATCAGGAGTTCAAGACCAACCTGAGTCAGAGCGAGACCTGGTCTCTAAAAACAGCTGGGAGTTGTGTCGGGCACCTGTAGTCGCAGCTACTTGGGAGGCTGAGGCAAGAGAATCGCTTAAGCCCAAGAGTTTGAGGTTGCTGTCATCTGTGACGCCACGGCACTGTACTAAGGGCAACAAAGTGAGACTCTGTCTCAAAAAAAAAAAAAGACCTGAACCAAAACCAGCGGGGCAGGAGGCGGGCAAGGGCCGGAATCGCCCTGCGCTGTCGCCGTCCAAGCAGGGAAGCTTCGCACCACGCTCCCTGAGCCTTCTCCACCCGCTGGGCCCCGCGGCGCCCCCAGGGATTTGCACATCCCGGTCCCCGAAGCTCCAGTCTGGGGCGGGGTGGGTCGGGCCACCGCCCGCGGTCACCGCCTCCTCTGCCCGCAGCCAACGTCTGCGACGACGATCAGCTGCTCTGCCAGAACGGCGGCACCTGCGTGCAGAACCAGCGCTGCACCTGCCCGCGCGGCTACATAGGCGTGCGCTGCGAGCAGCCCCTCTGCGACCCGGACCGCGACGGCGGCGGCGGCAGCGGCCTGGACTGCGACCGCGCCCCCGGGGCCGCCCCGCGCCCCGCCACCCTGCTCGGCTGCCTGTTGCTGCTGGGACTGGCCGCGCGCCTGGGCCGCTGAGCCCCGCGCGGGGGACCCGCGCCCGCCGCGCCCTGAGCCGGAGGCCTGGAGGCCAGGGGTTCCGGGGTCCCGGGCACCGGGCTGGCGTCCAGGCCCGGCGGCGAGAGGGTGCGGCCCGGCTGCTCCCAGGTGCTATCAGCAGTGCTTCTGCCCCGCGGCCTGCGATCCCGATCTTAGTCTTTCTTTTGTATTAACATTATCCGCCCGCCCCTTTCCTTTTTTTTTTTTTTTTTTTTTTTTTTTTTTGGGGGGGGGGGAAACGGAGTCGGGAGAAAAATGCTGCTCGCCCCTGCCCCCCCAGTCCTGGCTCCCCCACACCTACACACAGGACACAGGACTGTTGCAGACACCCCGCGCCTATCCGGGGCTCACCATCAGCGCCGACCCAGAATCCCAGTTGCCCCACAACTGTAGTCGCCGACTTGATTCTTTTCTAGTCTTCGTTTTCCTTGCTACCCACCAGACCCCAGGCCCCACACGAGGCCTGGTGACCGAGAACTTCACCACCTGCAGGAGGGGTTGCGGGGCTGGGAACTTGGTTTCGTAGAGAACTATTTTTGTTTGTATTAACTGTCCCCTGTAAGGTGGGACGTGGGGCCGCTGGTCACCTCGGGGGTTGATGGTGTATAATCCCGGAGTAAAGAGTCGCTCACTGCTGCCTCCAGGGCCTGTTTTCTTTCTGTGTCGGTGGACCTGGGGTAGTTTGGGGTTCAAAGAGGCACCTTGAAACGGTTTCCCTATCAGGGCAGAAGCTTTCTGCTTTCCCCGGCCCCTGAGAGCAGCCCCCTCCCCCCGACTCCCGGCAGGTTTGGCTGGAATTGCTCTGCCACGCCCTGGCTGGGCTGCTGGTTAAGAATCCAGAGTTAAGGGCACTTTTCTAGACTACAGAAGTCCAGGGAAATGGCTCAGGGAGAATTTGGTACACACGGATTCCAGGGCTCTGAGTTAGGATCTGTCTTCTGGCTGCCCAGGACAGGCGTGTCATCTCAGACCTGTTGGACCCAGAGCCTCAAATCCAGGGCCCACAGGGGCAGTGGTCACCACCACCTCCTTCCAGAGGCTCCTTCTGGCCAGAGAGTCCCCAGGCAGCCCAGGGAGGTGAAGGTAGGCAGTGCAGAGGTACAGGCAGGCCACCCTCTCCTCCTCGCCTTCTGAAGGTCTTGGAGGGGTGGTGGAGGGGACATGGGCAGCCTGGGAATCAGGAGAGGAAGCCTTGTAAGGACCCAGGGCTCACCAGCTTAAGCACCTTACTACTTGAGGATCTGGCAGGGATCTGCACCCCTGGTGGGGAGGTCACATGTCCTCTTGAGAAGGCTCAACTTCTCTCTGCACTGGTGAAAACATGACAACATGTCTCTGAGCAGACCTCTGGAGCCAGTCCTGGCTCCTAATTGCTCCCCCTGCCCCATTCCTGTCCCTGCCTGTAGTCACCCTCTGGCACTGGCTTGGCCAGCTGCTCTTCCCAAGCTGAGACGTTCAGACCTGAGTCCTTCCCTCAAGTCCCCAAAGCAAAGCTAAGACCAAGTTGAATAAAACTTGTTTGGCCTTGGGGAGGACAAGAGATTACAACACAGAAAAGGAGCTGGAGTTACAACTGGATAGTAAATGGGACTTGAAGCATCCCGAGGCCAGACACACCTAGCCCCCTCTCTGGGCTCCTGTCCCCAGCACCAGGTTGCAGGGGTGGCTCCCCCACCCCCAAAGTGCCTTCTCATCCTTGGCTTCCCAGGCTTCATCCTCACCTTCTTCCTTATTAATAGAGCCCCGTTTAGGGGACCAAAGTGCCCAGATCAAATAAAACTTATTGCTGGGGCTGGGAGTGGGCAGGAGTGACCATGTGATGTAAGCAGGAGTGATGGGTGGAGCTTCCAGAAAGTTTCTTTAAAACTGTCCCCCACACACACACAATTCTCACAAAGCCTCAGTTGCCTGAGTTTAGGGCCCTGGCTTTTCTCTGGCACCCCTCCCCCATCTTTAATTAGCAGGGTGGGGGAGGAACCACCCAATAGTCCTTACTGCCAGAGCAGCCCCTTTCCGGCCAAGGAGACAACAGTTACCTTTCTGAGTATCCAGCTGGGCCTGAGAGACGGCCCTGGTGCACCTCTGCATTTCTTAATGTGTGAAAAAAAATAAACCTTGATGTGACTGAAATACTGGAATTTGGGTTTTCTGTTCCCAGCAGACTTACCAGTTCCTACTACTTTCTTTTCCCCTCCCCCAATTTTTTTTTTTTTTTTTTTTTTTTGACAGAGCCTCAAGCTGAGTCCCTGGGTAGAGTGTCATGGCTTCACTGCTCACAGCAACCTCCAACTCCTGGGCTTAAGCAAGTCTCCTGTCTCAGCCTCCCAAGTAGCTGGGACCACAGGCGCTGGTTGCAGCCATTGTTGTTTGACGGGCCCAGGCTGGATTCGAACCCACCACCTTAGGTGTATGTGGCTGGCGCCTTAGCCGCTTGAGCCACAGGCGCCGAGCCCCCTCCCCCAATTTAATATCCAGTTGCCCTGAGTCTGCTATGGCCAGAGAGAGGCTAAAACCAGCCCTTTCTTGCCATAACCCCCTGCTGAGACCCCCCCACACACACACACACAAGGAAGACCACAGACTGTGTAACACTGGGGACAAAGTGTTCACCTCTTTCCAGAACAAGACCTGTCTCTGCTTTCAATGAGCAGAGGCCAGGCTGCCCGAAGCCCACCTCCAGAGAAACACCAGTGCTGGCCCCGGTCTGTGAACCACAGATGCCTCCTTCTTGCCATCAATACATTGAAATATCAGTGAGAGCCACACACAACAGTCAGAGGTGGGTTTCTATCTAGAAGCAGAACTTGAGATGGGCAGGAAGGCCGTGCATGATGGCTGAGGGGCCCCTGGAGCATAAGTGACAATCACAGCAATGTTCTGTCTGGGGCAAGGGGTCAGCCTCATGTAGGACATGGACCCCAGGCTGGCCTGAGGGGTGCGGTGGAAGCCCTGTGCAGAAGGTGGGCAGCGGGAGGACTGGAGCCCCTGTGAAGGAGCCTGGGGCCGGGCACCCACAGCACCTACCACACACACACACATCCTTCAGTCACCGGGGTGTGGTCCTGGAACACTCCTGAGAGGTCTGGGAGGAAGTCTCAGTGGTGGGTGCCTGCTCTGTCCTCCCTGACCTCCCTTCCCTGAGACAGGCTGTTCCTGTGGGCCTTGGAAGGGGAACTCATCTTAAATCAGAGTGGCAGTCCTAGTCCCCAAAGACTCCAGGACAATGCTCAGGGCCTGACCTCACCAGAGGGTGCAGGGTTGCCAGTGGCCATTAGGAAAACTCCCACATCTTCCAGGTAGCAGGGAGAAGGTGAGAGCAAGGTTGGCAGAGCCGAAAGTCAGAGACCAGACTCCTTCTCAGAGGTGCTCCCTGATCCCAGAGTTTGTGTGCTGGCTGACGCCTGGCTCTGAGCAGAGAGAGGCAGTGGCTCCCACCCCTCTCCTGGCTGACACTTCCTGCACATACCTGGCTGCCTTCATCCTCTCCTTTGCTCCAGGACAAGGTGTTCAGCTGGCACCGTGGACTCTGGGGAGGTTGGGGGGGTGGGTAGCAGGGGGCTGAGGGGCTGTACCTCAGCCTGTAGGATCTCAGCAGCATCTCCTGCCTCCCCCTTGTCACCTCCCTTCTTTGGCCCCTGTAGCCCTAGGGAGGCTGAGCAAGGATCCCTGGGGAGCCGGACTTCATCTGAATGGCTCTGCTGTCAAGGGAGAGGCTCTTGTGCTCCTGCCCCAGCTGCCTCTGGACACACAGGACTGCTGTGTCAGCAGTCCCTGCCATGCTGTGCCCTACAGCTCTACATGTTTATGGACGCCTAGGGACCACCATGGCATCTCTCTACAGACCTGGGCCGGGGAGGCTTATGGGACTGCATCCCAGCCTGGGCATTCACGCCCCCTCCCAGCCCATCCCAACTCTCCTACAGCCAGAGGAGTTAAGAGAAATGGCCCCAATGATTTGCATTTTTTCTTTTTAAAACACAAATGACTAGTAGGGAAATTGTGAAGAAAATACAGAAAAGCAAAATCATAATAATTTTTCAATTAAAATCACCCACAACTCTCCATCTAGAGCTAATAACTGTTTACATTTTCCGATAGATAGTTCTCGTGTTTTTCCATAAAATAAAACCCACAGGCAGATATCACCCCCCAGCCACACATTTGCTAAGCCAGTGTGCTGAGGCCTGACATTCCTTGTGGCAGGAGTGCTCCCAGATGCTGAGAGTTATGCAGCCATCTCAGAACCCAGCACACTGCGCCCTGGCAGGGGCCTGGCCGGGGACCTTAGCTACACATTCATGTGATTGAAGCAGCAAAGAAGATTATTCAAAGTCTCATGGGACCCAAGCACGTATGTCAGGACAGCTAGGTGTGAGGAGGGGGCCACCAAGCCAGGAATGCCTGCTACCCAGTATCCCATCTAAAGTGAGCACTGCCCTCACCCCTAGGCCTCCCTCCTGCTGGGATCTCTACCAGGCCCCCACTGTGTGCCCACACCCTCGTGTCCAGCAGGTCCATTCCATCAAGGAAGGGGACACAGAAAGAATGATTGTCCCCCACAGAGAGAGTGTGCAAGTTGCCTGGGGTCACACAGCCAGGAAGAGGCAGAGTCCAAGTTGTAAACTCCCTCTTTGGGGCACAGAGCACTAAGCTTATTGGACTGAGCTGCATGACCGTCCACCTTTTCCTTTATTTTAGTTTTTTGTGTTTTTTTTTTTTGAGACAGACCCTCAAGCTGTCCTCCTGGGTAGAGTGCTGTGGCATCACAGCTCACAGTAACCTCCAACTCCTGGGCTCAAGTGAGTCTCCTGCCTCAGCCTCCCAAGTAGCTGGGACCACAGGCACCTGCCACAGCACCTGGCTACTTTTTGGTTGCAGCCGTCGTTGTTGTTTTGGTGGGCCCAGGCTGGATTCAAACCCACCACCTTAGGTGTATATGGCTGGCACCTTAGCCACTTGAGCCACAGGCGCTGAGCCTTATTTTAGTTTTTAACAGTAGCCTCATCTGTACACACCTTTCTTTAGCCTGCTATATAAAAATCAGCACCATATCCAGACTATCAAAGGAAGTATTTAAAATAAAAGGGAAATGCAAACTCCCATCATTTCATTTTTTGGCCCCATCTCTCGGCTTCTTTCCCACTCAGCC